GTACTCATGAAAGCCATAATAATCAGGGAAACAACAATAGGAGGAAGTTTAAAAGTAGAGGCAAGTCTAAGTCAAGGACTAGGACTTAAAAGTGTTATGGGTGTGGGAAAACTGGACATTTCATTAAAGACTGTTATAAAAATAAAAATGAACAGAAACTGAAGGGTGTTGATGAAGGTAATGTGGTAGAATCTGAAGGTTCTGCCACAGTTGATGTATATGCTGTGACTGAAAATTTACCTAGCTCTGCAAATGTGGTTGATGAGAATCAGAACCAAGAATGGATCTCGGATTCTGGTTGTACCTTCCATATGACCTTTAAGAAGGTATATTTAGACAATTTTAAGAAAATTGATGGAGGAAAAGTGGTTATGGGCAATAATGTAGCCTTCAGAGTTGAGGGAGTTGGGAATGTCACTTTGAAATTCGATAATGGATACATTCACCCTTTTGAAAGGGTCAGGTATGTTCCTGAATTAAATAGGAATCTGATTTCCATGGGATATCTTGATGATATGGGATTGCAAGAAAAAATAGGAGATGGCTTCTTAAAAGTGATAAAAGGATCACTTGTTATTTTGAAAGGTGTTAAAAAAAATGGGATTTATGTGACCAGAGCTAGTACAGTGTCTGATCACATAGGTGAGTCTTCTAGTGTAGAAGCTGATGCTACCTTAAAGTGGCACAAGAGATTGGCCCATGTAGGTGAAAAGGGCCTACACATCCTTTATAAGAAAGGAGTGTTTGGAAAAGACTCTATATCTAAGGTGTCCTTTTGTGAAAACTGCACCTTAGGTAAGCAGCATAGGCTGCATTTTAACACAGGAAAACATAGAACCACTTCTATCCTTGAGTATATACATACTGATTTGTGGGGACCTTCATCCACTATTACTCAAGGAGGAAATAGATATTTCTTGTCCTTAATTGATGACTATTCTAGGAAGGTTTGGATTTATTTGATGAAACACAAATCTGAAACCTTTGAGAAATTCAGAACTTGGAAGATTCTAGTTGAAAATGAGATTGGAAAGAAAATTAAGATCCTTAGGACGGACAATGGCCTTGAGTTTTGCAATGCTGAATTTGATCAATTGTGCAAAGAATCTGGTATTAAAAGGCATAAAACAGTACCTTATACACCTCAGCAGAATGGAGTGGCTGAGAGGATGAATAGAACCTTGCTAGATAAGGTTAGGTGCATGTTGATAGGCTCAGGTGTCCCTAAGGTGTTATGGGGTGAAGCTGTAATGACAGCTTCATATATTGTTAATAGAATCCCCTCAAGTGCTCTAGGTGATAAAACCCCAGAAGAGCTATGGACATGACATGTTCCTGATTATTCTCATTTAAGAATTTTTGGTTGTGCAGCCTATACCCATCAGAGTATAGGAAAACTTGAACCTAGGGCCCAGAAATGTGTTTTCTTGGGATATCCCGATGGGGTTAAAGGTTATAGGCTTTAGAGTAAAGAGGTAAAAGGTTTTAAAATCATCACCAGCAGAGATGTGACCTTTGATGAGTAAAAATGCCTTGTTTAGAAAATAAAGAGCCAAAGGGTTTATCTGGTGATGAAAGGGGTGATAATACCAAGCTGCAGGTGGAGCTTGGCTTACCTACTGAACCTATTGGTGATGAACAGGTGGATGAAGAAGCTGAAATAGCTTCTGGTCCTCTAGAAAATGAAGAGGAAGATGTTCAAGAAAATCTGGAAAGTCAGCCTGATGAATTAGGAGATTACCAGTTGGCTAGAGATTGGACTAGGAGAGAAGTTAGAGAGCCTGTTAGGTATGGGGATTACCTTTCACTTGCTATTTTGTCCTATCAAGACTTAGTGTTTAAAGAACCAAAATCTTATGAAGAGGCAATGAGCAGCAAGCAATCTGAGAAATGGCATGCTGCTATGATAGATGAGATAGACTCCTTAATGAAAAATGAGACTTGGACTTTAGTCCCTAAACCTGTAGGTAAGACCCTTGTTGATTGCAAGTGGATCTTTAGCGCTACGGAGGGAAATTCTGAAAAGATGCCCATAAGATTTAAAGCTAGACTTGTAGCGAAAGGATTTACACAAAAAGAGGGCATAGACTATAATGAGATATTTTCACCTGTGATAAAGTACACAACCATTAGAGTTATGCTTGCTCTTGTTGCTCATTATGATCTTGAACTTGAGCAAATGGACGTGAAAACTGCTTTCTTGCATGGTGACCTTGATGAAGTGATTTATATGAGGCAGCCACCTGGTTTTATTGAGGAAACTAATTCTGATCATGTGTGTTTGTTAAAAAGATCATTATATGGTTTAAAGCAATCTCCACGACAATGGTACAAAAGGTTTGATAATTTTGTATCCGCTATTAGTTTCAAAAGAAGTGAATATGATCATTGTCTTTATTTTAAAAGAAATGATGAAAATGCTATTGTTGCTTTTATACTTCTTTATGTGGATGATATGTTGCTGATTGGTCAGAATATGCATGTTATTAATTAGATAAAACGGTCTTTAAGTGTTGAATTTGAAATGAAAGACCTAGGACATGCAAAGAGAATTCTATGAATGGAAATCACTAGGAAAAGGCATCATAGGTTACTGTACTTGAAGCAAACTGCATATATTGAAAAAATGTTGATTAAGTTTGCCATGCATAACTCTAAATCTGTTTCACTTCCATTGGCCAGTCATTTTAAACTTAGTAAGGAGCAATGTCCCGTAGATGAATCTGACATTAGACAAATGGAAAATGTACCCTATGCTAATGCCGTAGGTTCTGTTATGTACACTATGGTATGTACTAGGCCGATGTAGCTCATTCCATTAGCACACTTAGTAGATTTATGGCCAATCCAGGACCTGACCATTGGGTTGCTTTAAAATGGCTGTTGAGATACTTGAAAGGATCTTCACATGTTGGATTGATTTTTAGTGCCTGTAATGAAGGTGTTGTACTTAAGGGTTTTGTAGATTCAGATTTTGCCGGAGATAGAGACAATAGGAAATCTACTACTTCTTATATGTTTACTTTGTGTAATACATGTATTAGTTGGAAATCTCAACTTCAACCTATTGTTGCTTTATCTACTACTGAAGCTGAGTATGTTGCTACAACTGAAGCAATAAAAGAAGGCTTATGGCTTAAGGGTTTGTTATCCGAAATAAATGAATTAAGTAACCCTGTTGTTTTATATTCAGATAGTCAAAGTGCAATTCACCTATGTAAAGACCCTATTTTTCATGAAAGAACCAAACACATTGATATTAAGTTGCATTTTATTAGAGATGTTGTTTCTAAATAACTAATTTTACTTGAGAAAATTGCAACCCAGTTTAATCCAGCTGATGTAGGTACTAAGGTAATACCTTTAAACAAGTTTAAGTCTTGTTTACAAATTTTGAACATTGATGTTGGTTAAGTGTTTTGTTCTGTACAGGTGCTAAGGTTGATGCTTGTTGAGAATACGGGGAAGCTGTCTTTTTGAGAAGGACATTTAAATTGTGTTTTACATTTATTAGGCTTCTTGTATGATCACTGGCATCAAGGTGAAGATTTGTTGGGCTGTGATGCCATTTGATCAGTCCAACTAATAGGCAGTGATGAAATAAGGCCCAATATGGAATCAATAGATGGTCCATTTATTAAAACCTAGAAGGCCCAATTAAATCGAGCCCAATATCCAGCCCTTTTAACCCTAGTCGTTCTTGGACCGTTGGATTAACCCACTCAATCTAACGGTGGATTGGTTTACTATATATACATTATTTATCCTCTTGTTTGGGAGAGAGACGGTCATTTTTCTTGTTCTCTGTGTATTCTGGAACCTTCAATGACTTTCGTCTTTGTGACATTTTCTTCTTCTCTGTGTGAGAACTTCTGTTGATTATCTTTGTGATAATCATGTCATTGTGTTAGTCTCCTTTGTGTGAGTAAACTGTTGGAAGTGGTTTGTCCATTTTCGGTTCCAGTGAAACGACTTGGTGCTTTGGGGTTGTGAGGGCTCGTGTGTTGAGTTCGGTGCCTATGTGATGGTTAGAAAAGGGCGTATGGTCTGAGCCTATGAATAGATCTAAACCTTGATCCAATGGCTTAGGTTTTCTGTAAATCTGCTGCGTATATATATATATATATATATATATTCTGATTTGTATAGTTTGAACAAATTCTGGATTAATAGAATGGAGGTTTGCAAGAGTATATATTGTAATTTTAGCTTCCATGAAGAGCCGTAGAAAGCTCATTTTCTAGTTGTCAGATGTCTCCGGTGATTGAGTGTTATTGGACTGAACTGATAGATTCATGTTTGAACTGGACTCATTGAGTCTTATTTGATTTGTGTTTATGCATCGAAAAGACAAAAAAAGATTTTTATCTTTTTATAAGAATTGTATCTTTCTGATAAAACTTAGTCACGAAACTTTAGTTATAGGACCACAAAAACTCTTGTACCTCGAGATATTTTTAGTTTATTTTGAACATAAACAAGTAGCTCTCATTCTATCAAATCGTCGAGAACGTACAAAGAAATAAGTGAAGCAATCAAAATCAACCCATTGATGAGAAATTGCATGATTAGCGAGACAATGGGCCACAAATTGATTCCATAATCGTATCCCAAGAAAATGCGAGTTGCAAGCGATATTATAATAAAAGGGTAAAATGGTCATTTAATCATGATTAATTATTCGATGTCCGACAGGTATAAACAAGTAGCTCTCATTCTATCAAATCGTCGAGAACGTACAAAGAAATAAGTGAAGCAATCAAAATCAACCCATTGATGAGAAATTGCATGATTAGCGAGACAATGGGCCACAAATTGATTCCATAATCGTATCCCAAGAAAATGCGAGTTGCAAGCGATATTATAATAAAAGGGTAAAATGGTCATTTAATCATGATTAATTATTCGATGTCCGACAGGTATACTCGTCGTCCAATACACATAAAGAGATCGCTTTTTATTGTTTGATTCCTCAACTTGATTCTTGATTTGGCTTTCAGGTTTCCACTCATTAATGGCTGTTCATACTTCTGGAGAATACCAAAGAAGATATGGGGTTGAAAGCTGGAAGATTGAATATCAATATTTAAAGAAAAAAATTGGAGCAGCTTCTAAAGAATTCAGATCTAATCACACTTCAAGTGTGATTCCACAATCCTTTATCTGATTAATTCAACATGTTATAAAACGAATTTAACCATATATTCTTGGATCAAAACTTATTAAGAAAAAAAATTTATTGCACATGTTTTTACTTATTGTCTAACATTAGTCTTATATTTTCACTTTGGATTTGTGAACACATCTTTTCAGTTCAGTGTTTATGAGTTAAGTTTGTATCTAATAACGCTAAAAGATAAGGTTCTTTAATACATTTATCATTGTTCATGTACTATAAGAAGCCTCCTTGTGTATAAAGAAATATACAACTTTATTATGGATCTTTCCTATATTTTATGTATTTTATATATTAAGTTTTAATTGGATATTTAAAGAAAGTTCACCTTGACCTGCTATTTAGAGTGCACACTAAGCAGTGGTCTATCGGTTGTTGAATTTTGGAAACTGATCGCTTAGACTCTATTGCACCGAATTACATATTCCGAGGGGACAACTATTTATTGTTCTTCAAGCTACCATTTTCAGGCTAATTTTCATTGTTGATTCTTAAAGTTATCTTATAATGTGTGGACATTTGAAATAGATTATTTATCTTTAGCTTCATCTTTTGTGTATATTACAATTTTCCTAACAATCTTAAATTCATTTTGGATAAAACCTCTTTGCCAGGGCCACATGTGCCCTGGTATTGGCGCCCCCTATAGGTGGGGTGCCTTGGTAATGCCTCACATTTCACCAAGCCAACTTTGACTCAAGTCGTGCTTCTAAAGTTCATATTTGGTGTTGGTACAAGATTTGATGTGTTCTCTAAACTTGGCTCATTCATTGAAGCCCCACCTATAGGGGCGCCAATACCAAGACACATGTGGCTCTGGTAACCAAGCATGGTTCATTGATTTTATACATATTGGGTATGCCTCACATTTCACCAAGCCAACTTTGACTCAAGTCATGCTTCTAAAGTTTGTATTCGATTTTGGTACAGGATTTGATGGGGTCTCTACACTGGGCTCAGTCTGGGTTGCTGGACACAGTAAATTGGTACTTTCATTTGAAAGGGGCTAATCTCATTTCTCACACACATTGTGCTCGTTTTCCTTTCTTTAGACATTTTTTATGTGTTCTAAAGAAATCTGAGTGATTTCTTCAAACATTTTACTGAATTTGTTCTTGATTTTCATTCTAAAATGAAAGCCATATCTACTTTGATAGATGCTCAATGGGCGAATAATGTTGGAGCACATGAACATTCGGATCCATTAGTGGACGAAAAATTCTTGTGTTAGAATTTCTTTAATTTTTTACACATTTATTTCAATCTTTTAGGGTTAAAACATATATTTAGGACTAACAAGTTGCATCAGAGTCAGAACCTTAATTTTGATATGGTTTCTGGCTTTAAAATGGAAACCTAGTCCGTTCTTTTTGAAAAATCTTTGTACCATACTAGCTGTCGATCTAGAATTTTTTGTGGAAACCAACTTATTTCCAAATCCCTGTGACTTGATGTATCTTCGATTCAACATTTGGCTGAATTTTTTGATGAACTCTTTTGGGTTTCTAGTGATTCTTGATGGCTCGTTTGTATTCCTTGTTGGGTTGTGATGACTTTACACAGTTTCTGGCAATTCTCGGTGACTCCTTATTTTATGTTGAGTTGAGGTGACTCATTCAATCTACTACCGATTCTTTGTGTTTCAGTTGGCATTCTGGGATAAGTTTTAGTAGAGCAAAGTTTAAATATAGAAATTAATTTGTTTTATAATGAAGACACAAACTGAACATTAGACAATTTAAAAGTTCTAATGACACAGGAAGGATGTTAGAACTATTAGGTAGAGAAGAGGGTGATAGATTGTGCTAGCCATGAATATGATGTATATTAAGAGCTTTGTGGGAAACATTGACAAGATGGTACCAAAGGATGGTTTGGCTTCGAAGTGTTGGAGATTAGCCTCAAAGCTTATTTGTTTCTTATGGGGCTTATCGAAGGTAATAGGTATATCGCGAGCACTAACAACAGATGATATGTCCTTATGGTCACCAGGTAGGCCATCAAGAATTTTTAGAGTCAGATCTTCATAGTGGATGGGATAGTCCTTGATAGCAAGTTCGACAATCTTGCTTTTCTAAGATTCTAGAAACTCGATAATAGTTAAAGATCCTATAGTAA